AGCATCTGGGAGTGGGGGCGCCAGGACCAGGATCCTGGAGCTGGGGCCAAGGCAGAGCCATGATCCAGTCCCTGCATGACAGATTGTGACCAGCCTGACCCAGGAGGGGGGCAGGGTGAATGCCTGTGACCCAGCTGCTGCTGCCTCCGCCCCACACAGGCATACGTGGGCAGCCCCAGTACAGTGCGGCTACAGAGTGGCACAGCCCAGCAGCATGGGTGGCCACAACGGATTGTGATAAGATTAGGCTGCCCTGCACTGTTGAGCTGTGCTGCACTGGGGCTGCCCACGTGTGCCTGTGCTGAGGCAGGGGGCAGCAGGGCTCCACCTCCTTTCTGGGTCAGGCTAGTCATGATATGTTGTGTGGGGAGTGGACTGCAGCTCTGCCCCAGCCCCAGCCCTACACTGTCACTGCCCCATGATCCTGGCCCCAGCCCTGCCCATCCATCCCACATTCCCGGATGCCACTCCCTGCCTGTGGCCCCATCCCGTCTGCCCAAACAAGTGTGCCCTGCCATCAGGAGTCCCAGGCTGGTTTAGTAATCTACTATTTAGGGATTTTTGGTGAGCTGTTGCAGGCCGGGGGTGGGGAGGGTTGTGGTGCTGACCCAGCCCTAATTGGCCCTCCAGCCCAAATAATTGCCCACTCCTGATCTAAACTCTGCGTAAGACTACTGTCAACCTTGATGCAACAGAGACCTAACACCCTAACCTGCCAGAGGTAAAGCAGGGGAACCATGGCAGCCAACATCCTACTTCTATGCAATATTGTCAATATAGGCTCAAGAGATCCTGAGTAGAGGGCCACCCTCCTCGCCTGCACTCCTAGAGGAAGGCAAAAACCCCCACAGTCCATACCAATCTGACCATGGGGTAAAATTCCTTCCTGACCCCAAATATGGTGATTGATCTGACCCTGAGCAGAGGCAAGACCCTGTAGCCCAGGGGTGGGCCATTTTTTCAGCTGGAGCACCACTTAATGAGTTTTGGTGAGCTGTCAAGGGCCGCAAACACAAAATCTCTTAGAAGATATCATTTTAACAAATTCTAGATAAAAACAAATTTGGAATAAACTGCTGCCGGAGGTGGTTCAAGCACCCACTTTGAACACCTTCAAGACACTTTTGGATGTTTATCTTGCTGGGATCCTATGATCCCTGCTGACTTCCTGCCCCTGGGCAGGGGGCTGGACTTGATGATCCTCCGGAGTCCCTTCCAGCCCAAATGTTTATGAAATCTATATATAGAAAATCAAACCTCTATTACAACATATTTTAATTTTATTTCAAAAATAATTTTGGTCCTTATTTATGTTTTTTTGAGTAGTGTATATAGGGGTGATTGCTTAATAGCTCAAAATAAAGTATAACTCTTGTATATTGTGTCAGGGGTATGTGAGGTGTGAGGGGGTATGCATATTTGTGTGGGGGGCTGCCTGTGCACTAGGTCCCAGGAGCCAACTGGGGGTTGGAGGAAGTGGGCACAGGGTAGGCAGAGTGTGCAACAGAGCTTGTTGGGGCAGGGTGGGGCAGTCCACTCCAGCACCATGTAACCCGTGGCTGCCCCTGTGGTGCTATGCATGCAGCCGTGTCATACCCAGAGCAGCACACACCGCATTTCTGCCTGTACCCATTGACTGGCCAGCGTGCACAGCTTCCCTGTGCAACTGCAGCCATCTGGGTACTGCTCAGCTCCCTCCACCTCCAGTGGCTCTTCCTCCTCCTCCTTCTCCTGCCCTTGGTGTGCTGCTGGGGAGGAGGGAGAGAGGGGAGAGCTGCAGCCGAGCGGGGCTCTAGCTCCAGTTCCTGGCTGCCTTCCTAGAGTGGGTGAAAAGTGGCTGGTAGCCAGAGCTGGAGCCCTGGGGCAGGAGTCACTTGGCTGCAGTACAGCCTTGGCGGGGATTAGTGTAGGCAAAAAATAGGCACATAGGATTTGAGCGAGGATGGCAGAAGCCTTGTCGCAAGGCCTGAGGGGTGACTACAGGTTACCCACCTTATCTTTTTTCTTCTCCCTGTGCCACCAGGATGCTGAGAGATTTTGTTCCCATCTATGAATGGCATTGGGGGCATCCAATGGCTCTGTTATTGGCTGTTAACTTATGAAGTGCCAAACAGTTTGGTTGTTCTTTGGATTGTGGTATTAAATTAGGTGTCTCTGCTAAAGTGGTCAGTAGTAAAATAGTTAATAGTTTTAAGGTTTGAGTTGGTTAGACTTCAGACTCAGGAGCTTGCAAGAGGAGTGGCCAGGTCATACCACTCAGTGCAGTTGTTCCAGGCTCCCTGCAGACGGAGGCAGATGCTAAACTTGTGCAAACTGAGGCAGTGACAATTCTAAGGCTTTGTTTAAAAGTGCAAAGTTAGAAACCTATTCTAAAAACCTGTGCACTCAGATTTTGGAATTGGTGAGGCTCTGAGGTAATGGAGTATGTGGGTCTTTCTGTGGGTTGCTCCCTTGTTTTGTGGGGGGGCCTGCCTCTGACACCCTATTCCTACAGTCTGTATCCACTGACCTCATCTTGTTGAAGGCAGGACCTCTGAGGGCTGGTGCTGGGAAGGCTGACAGGTAACTTGGGAATTCCCTCTACTTTCCTCCCCCTCAACCTGTCAGAGCCCCAGCGGGTGTTTGCCCTCCAGGGTGCAAAGATCTGTTTGTTCACTGAGGCTTTGGCCAAAAGGCAGGACAGGATGCTGACTGGGAATGCTAATTGGGAGATCTGTAGAGTTTGCCTTGTGTCAATTATCAGACAAATGCGTGTCTGTTTCACTGATGAATCTGTGTTCTTGGAAGCTGCAGAGACCTGGTACAAATTTCCAACTGTCATTCATATGACATTCACTTCAGAATTTAATGGGCCATCTACATCACGTTCATCACCCTTTGATCTCAGAGCATTGTGATGATCCACTATCTCTCTGAAGAGGGGGACACTGAGGTCCAGAGAAGTGAAGTGATCTGTCCTAGGACTTCAGGTGGTTATTGAAGAGCCAGCTGATGCTGGTGATAAAACCCGGGTCTCTGGACTCCACTCCCAGGCCTCGTGTGCAGGACTGTGCTGTATCTTGCTGTGCTGTAGATTTTAACAAACTCTTTGAAGTGCTCTCTGGACACTCATGCTAACCCAATGTCCCTTGTTTTGTTTCAGGTTTTCAAACCTAATTCCACAAAACGAGAGGATGGAAAGGACATAGATGGTAAGTATTAGGCTGCTTTTTAACCCTTTTCGTTGGAAGCTGCTCCCACAGTTTTCCTCATGGAGCTGCTTTCCTTTGAGCTTCATTTGACCTCTGCTGAGTAACAGGGCAAGGGTCAGGCCCGTTGGGGGCATTGCCAGGGGAGGGAAGCTCTTGAATGACTTCTTATAGGTGGCAACCTATAAGTACGTGAGGGGTGTGCATCAGGATCTGGGGGAACACCTGTTCACCAGAGCTCCCCAGGGGATGACAAGGTCCAACAGTCACAAACTCCTGCAACACCATTTTAGGCTGGACAGAAGGAAAAACTTCTTTACTGTCCAAGCCCCCAAGGAGTGGAACTGACTCCCCCCAGAGGTGGTGCAAGCACCTACTCTGGACACTTTCAAGAAACATTTGAATGCTTATTGCTTATCTTGCTGGGATCCTTTAACCCTAGCTCACTTCCTGCCCCTTGGGTAGGGGGCTGGACCCAATGATCTTACAAGGTCCCTTCCAACCCTAATGTCTATGAAATCCTTGCCTCATGAGGGAAAATCCCTAAAAGTCACCATTGTAGCCTAAGCTGAACTTCATAAAAGAGACATATATCTCTGCTCTGATCCCTTAATTGTTGGGTTGTAGAGGTTGTCAGGTAGACTGGGGAAGTGCACACTAAACCCAATAGCTCTTCAAACCCACCCCTGTAAGGTGACAGAGCTGTGGCTACGGGACTGGAGGGAGCCAGCATAGCTGGGATTTGGGGCTAGCACGGGATGTGTTTGCTACTAAGCAAGAGACACCATCTGTGGTTTCTTGTATGGGCTGCTCTGGGTTGAGACCTGTGTATTTGGTTCCCTCTACAGCTATCCCAGATGTTTCGGTCCTGAGACAAAGCATAATCACCAACCTGGAGAAATACATGGATCCCTCACTTGGACTGAAACCTGCACAGTAATTGGAGGGCAATAGAATAGCAGTTACCCGTTTTGCATTGTTTGTGTGTGTGCATGTGAGAAAGAGACACAGGAGCCAGGTGGGGAGGCTGTGGGCAAGAGGGTGGGGGTGTGAAAGATCAGGAAAGGAGTGTGCCCATCCTTACCAAGGCTTTGAGTAGCAGTTCTATCAGGAAAACTGCAGTGTTTCTTGGTCCCAAACCTAGGTTCTTCCACACATTTATAACAGTATGCATATACTCATTTCAGAAGCACTTGTGTCATCATTTCTAAATTAATTCCTTTGGGAGTGCACTGGAGGCCTTTCCTAGGCTTCCTCTATGAGGCTGCCCAGACACACCATAAACAAAACTAGGTCTGCAGCTAAGGTCCTTGATTTTAGAAGTTCTGGTCTGGGAAAATAAGCACTTGGATTAATTGGCCATGAATTGTTAAAATTAAATGAAAGAATAAGCAAAATATACAAGAGTTCCTTTCTACTCAAAATGGCAGACTGTCATAAACTAAGAGCACTACTGTAATTACCTAAATCCAAGATGACCCTGAATTTAAGATGAACCCCCAATAATTAGATTCTATATTTATAAATTTGTTATAATTTTCTATGTATATAATCTAATTATTTGAGAATAGTCTTGAATTCCCCCCACCACCATTGCAGGTGGTATGGGGCAGATGGTGGGGGGACAGATGATGGGAGGGGCAGGCAGTTCCCCCCTTTGTACCTGCCCCCCCTGTAGCCTTGGACCCCTGCCCCGCATTT